TATTTATGAAGGCTACACCAATAAAGGTGTTAAAATAGCGCACGATCTAAGAACAGGTTCACTAGCGATTAAGTTTAAACTTATGGCACACTTAGCGAATAATCTTTAAGGAATTTGATACAACGTTGTTGTAAAATTATGCATCTCAAACTTTACTTTAGTAACTAAAACAGTTAATTTTAACCTTAAATTTGTGATGCTTAAGCAGTTTCTGACTATAAAATTATTATGGTTATGTTTTCTTTTAATGTTGTTTAATTTTTGGTTAAAATGGCGATAAAAGTCACGGGTTCGGTTTCCGTGTAACGCGAAAACTTGTATTATTCATACAAATACCCAAGTGTAGTTGAAATAAAGTAAAAAGTTGCACAGCATCTCAATATTGAGATGAGAGCTCTAATGATTAAAAAATAAACACAAACTCTAATTCTCATGTTAAACTGGTATGACCAGAATAAAATGATAATAACATTCTAAAATCAAAGCGTTAAGTAAATTTTTATTGTATTTTATCATCTTGAATGAATTTGTATAGATTTAGTATATTCAATGCCATTTAGTGTCCAACTAGATCACCTATTTTATGGAAATGGGTAAATTAAAAACGTTTTATAATAACTCTAGGTCTACGAATTTTTCACATATAAGATAAAACACTCGTAACCTTCAACTGAACAGATTTTATTATATCATGCAACTAATCATGTAACTAACATTTCCTATTATAATGGTCAATAATAGTAGTAAAAAATCCGCTTATAATTAAAATTTAAATAAGCCATTTATTCAGGATATATAAAGCTTAACATATACAAGGACAGACACACAGATATACATAGGTGCCAAAATTGTCTGTTTAAACCGACTTCCAAAAAGAATGAAGTTATTTGTACCAATAGTTATAAAAAATATTATTATACTCTAGTGTCTTACTACAGAGCAAAGGCATCCCAACTTAAAAAAAATAATTACATAAATAAATTAGTCTTATATTAATCTAGACTTCATTTCAAATAACATTCACATGTACAATTAACCTTGGAAATACGAGGTTTTCAGAGTTAAGCTCTCTTTAGGCTAGCTTTACTGTTAGTTTGCTCCGGCTAAAGCGTTTTAAAGTCCAAAAGCAGTTGGTATAATGTTCAATTCTGAACATCCTTAACTGTTTTTGTTATAGAACAGGGATAATTAGAAATTTTATAAGATAGTAATAATATTATGGGACAATCAGAAAAATTATTACACTGATGCTTTTCTTCGATGACTTGCCTTCGATGTTTAAGATGATGATACTGACGATTTATTTATTTAATTATACATAAACTAGCGACTTACCCTCGCTCCGCTCGGGTTCGTCCTTAGTTAAGTTTTAAAGTTTGGCTCAGAGATGAGGTATTTTCTATTGAAAAAGTATCCGTTATGTTGACCCGGATAACCAGCTATCATCATACCAAATTTCAACAAAATCTGCCCAGTGGTTTTGTCGTGATGCGGTCACAGATAGACAGACAGACAAAAATGCTAAAAACTATAGATTCGGCCTCTGTATCCATAATTAATTATGCAATATACATATTATCATTTTATATATATGTTTTTTATCTAATTTTACCAAGAAAATAATAGTAATACCTTTTGCCCTAAACCTTACTACAAAATTATACCTTAGCTTAATGAACCTTAATTAAAATAGCTAAATTACATCCCTTATTACATGTACCTACATACAAAGCATTTATAGCACTTCTAACAACACTATTCTAGGAATCCAGCTAAACGAAGACAACCCAACCCTTTAATCACTCTCCGTAAATGTCCCCACTGTTTATTTATTAGATTATACTGCTTTATAATGTTCTTAACACTCCAACAAGGAATTCTTAATGGTCCCATACGATACGTGGGAGTTCAGTTTGGATAGGGTTAAATAAAATAACACATTCATTACTTTTATTAAAGAAACACGCTTTAGTTATTGCGATAGCAATACGAGGGATATGATTATGATATGTATATATATGTAATTTTTCTGAATTCTGTTTTTCTGAGCAGGTATGGTTTCCAAACCAATCTATCTTATTTGGGTTTTATATTTATAATATTATGCATAATCATCATCTTGCCAGATTTCATCAAAATCTGTCGAGTGGTTTTTCTGTGATGCGATCACAGACGGAAAAACCACTGGAGTGATTTTGATGAAATTTGGCATGATTATAGCTGGCTATCTGGGTCAACATATAGGGTACTTTTTACTGCGGGAAAATATCTCAAATCTGAGAAATCTATACTAAATTTTAAAACGTAAGTAGGGACGAACCCGAGTGGAGCGAGTGTGATTCGCTAGTAATATATAAATTAAACGTTAAAAATAGTCAAAAAAATACAAAAACAATATAATCCATCGCGAACCTCACGCACATTGTTGTTATTTTATTATAATTATCCTTATTTACCTATTTATATTGTAAATAGTTAACTTATAAATAGCTGTATTAACCCATACATCGTAAATCAATATCCAAGGTCTTTCAACAGTGACTCAACGTCGGTTGAGTTAAAATGTAGTAAAATCCCACGATGACTGACATCCCGATAACAGGAGTCCATTTTCGAGAAACGCATTAAGTTTTTGTCTTGAACCGTCCCTTTGGTTTTTTAACAATGTGTGCAGTCTATATTAACTCAGTGATTATTTTTAACTCTTCTATTGCGGTTGAGTGACATTTGTCTTCGACATAAGGTCACTTGATCGATTCCAGCTATAAGTAAAAAGACATTACTTAGAAAATATTTAAGTTACCATATACCTATGTATTTGACGACATGTTTGGCTCAGTTGGTAGTGATCCTACTTGCTGTGCCAACAGTCGCGGGTTGAAGTCCTGCTGGGGGCATTCATTTGTGTGATGAGCACGAATGTTTGTACTCAAGTCATGGGTGTTTATATTTATAATATGTATGTATTTAAAGTTATATATGTGTATTGTTTAGTGTTTCAACTATCTGGTATCCATAACACAGGCTTTATAGCTTACAATGGAACTAGATGGTGCTGTGTGTTAATGTCCCATACATACTTATTTATTTATTACATATTTATTTATTTTATGTATGTACATTTCTTAGCTACTAGAATGTAGCTAAGAAATGTACACTTATAACCTTAAGGCCACCATAAGGGCCACTTACAACAAATTCTTAATTGTTGTTAGTGGCTCTGTATTATGTATTTATATGTGAATTTAAATGACTTAAACATGTATGTATATCAAAACTCAAATTATAGTATTTAACATTAGGTATAAATGGATAAGACATTATAAACGAAATAACTTACGTATATTGGTGAACTTGCAACTAGTGGTGAAATGATAAGAAAGCTAATAAAAATCTGTAATTATAAAGTTTCTCTATGCTTGATAACGATAACGTCCTGGTAACGAATTTCATTTCATCCATAACGACCATCTTACATTCGGTACTACGTGGGAGATATTATAGTGCACAAGTATTGCGCTAGTGTATTCTTTTTGCCCTCATTCTCAGTGTCTGATTGTACGATACAAACAGACAACAAACCATCAAAAGTGACAGGTTAAATGCTCTCAAAAGCATGGGGATGTAATATTATAAACTTCCAAACCTAAGGCCTTTAGAATTTCTAATAACTTTTTTAATTCGACCCAAAATCAATTCGTATGACCGCAGTCCTATAAATTAACTTGTGGACCATAGAGGTATCCACGTGTAAGACTAATAATATAAGACTTTATAATATAAAATTTTAATATACAGCTAAAAAAATAGGCATCTGTTCTTTATTGTTTATAAATAAATAGTAAAAGGATAACTTACCTAACAACTATTAATAAAGCTAAAAAACATCATACTTAAGTTACACTTGCATAAACCGGAAATCGAACCACAACAGCTGTAATAAAAGCATATAAAATGATGTTATTCTTAGCGTGTTGCATCGACCTGCACGTCATTGCGAAGTAACTTATAAAGAAAAAATGTAAACATTCAACAAACAATAAGTAAAATGTTTAGTCCTTTGTAATTATTAGGTTTATAATCTATACATATAATAAAATTCTGAGTTGAATCTGTACATTAAATATTTTTTGGAAAATCTTATTGAAATAGTCATTATAATCGATACAGAGGCCGAGTCTATAGTTTAGAATAATTATATTAATAGAATTTTTGTATGTCTGTCTGTTACCGCATCACGAGAAAACCACTGGACAGATTTTGAAATTTCAATTTGATATGATGATAGTTGGTTATCCGGGTCAATATGTTAAAGGATACTTTTTACTTTGGAAAAAGATATCATCTGAGAAATATATACTAACCTTAATACAAATATAGATAAATATCGATTATTCTAACATATCATCATTATTATCAATGAAAATCTAATAAAAATATTTAAAAGCAAATAATTTTATCTACTCAGCACTGAAACACTTGTAATATGAATAATGTATACATACATATAATAAAATTGTAACTGAGTCGAATCTGTACATTAAATATTTTTTGGAAAATCTTATTGAAATAGACATTATTAGCGATACAGAGTCCGAATCTATAGTTTTTAGAATTTTTGTCTGTCTGTCTGTCTGTTACCGCATCACGAGAAAACCACTGGACAGATTTTGATGAAATTTGGTATGATGATAGCTGGTTAACCGGGTCAACATATAGGATACTTTTTACTGCCGGAACATATCTCATTTCTAAAAAAAAAACACATTAACGGCATTGTAAGAGTATATTAATATGTAAAATCTAAGAATATGGTTTTTGGTCATCTGAACACGGGCCGAGCCGCGGGCCGCGCAATGCTAGTCAATCATAAAAATAAAAAAATACCAACTCATGACCAATTAAAAAAAAAACATCTATCACCAAAACATAAGTTTCAAAACAAATCAAAACAATAACAATGCATTGCATATTACATTGCAAAAACATTACAAGTAAACATGGTTTTAGAATCGCCCGGGGCATATCGACGAGCTTTTAAAAAGCTAACCCGTCGTGTGAGAAAGGGACAGTATGAGGCGATAAACACGTGGGAAGATTCCAAACGCACGCATACCCCCCACCACTGGCTCTATAGCGCGCAGTCAGTCGCGCGCCGACCGGCATTACGGCAACACGTCCGGGGAATCCCCTACACGTTGTATATCGAACAGTGTTGTGATACTATAGTGTAGTGACGGAAATTGTGTTAGTGCACTATGTTGTGTACGTTATGAATGGTCTGGACCGTTGCTTCTTCGATCAACGTAAGTTACGTGATTTTGTTTGGTAGCGTTTCTACGTGGGGTGTTACGTTTTCGTTATAAGGTGTTAGAATGCGCTTTTAATCTGTTTATACGGATTTTTGTATGGAACTGCTAATTTCTGATTAATTTTTAATTTACGAGTGATATTATGAAACTTTAAGATGGATCTTGATCGTTGCTTTTTCACTTATAGTTTTTTTATTTATGTTTTTCTGTTAGGAAGCGAAATATATCTGTTTTAATCTTACAATTAATAAGAATCGTCTATATTTATTTTGAATTTACTTAAAAGTATGATAAAATTGGTGTTAAATTTCAAAGTCCGTTCTCAATAATTAGAAGCATGTGAAGTTACACTAAAACACTGTTTGAAATCAACGGGTGAATGAAACATTTGTATCTATTTAAGATAACGCGTTCCGCCTAATGAATAACTACAGTTGCACTAAGATAAGTTAGAGTAAAAACGATGGTGTATGCATAGAAATATGTAAGCTTTAAGCTTTAAATAGAAACTTTTGTAAGCTACGACCAATTAAGTCATAGAATATAAAAAAGTACGTATTTTAAGTCTATATTAAATAACTTGTTATCTTATATGTAAAATATAAATGAATTAACATTTTAGTCATTCCTAAAATTTTAATAAGAAAAGCAAGTTTTTTTTAAGCTCCATACCAAATTTTGGTTAAATTGATAGCTGATCGAATTTTCATGTATTAATAGTTAAGTGTGACATCTTATGAATGCAATACAAAAGGCACGCTTATAATGAAAATATATTATTCTTAAATGCTTATATTTTTAAGATGTGCCAATACTTTTTACATGTTAAATTAAAAAAATACAATGTTACGAATCCTACTAATATCATAAATGCGAAAGTTTGTGAGGATGTATGGATGTCTGGATGTTTGTTACTCTTTCACACAAAAACTACTAAATTGATTTTAAAGGCACTATAATATAGCTCATATATCAGAATAACACATAGGCTACTTTTTATCCCGAAAAATATAAGGTCCCCGTAGGATAGATTCGTTTTTGTTTCTAAATATGATTGTTCAAATGTGACACTATTTCACCCCCGAACGTGAAATTATGTAAGTTATATAATAAAATTCATGAAATATAATATATTCATAGCGATTTATTTCAAAATACTTTAGATAGTCACTTTCATCAAGAAAATGTATGATTTAAAAATGAATAAAAACTGTATGACGGAATCGTTCAGTACCGTCTACTTCATTTCTTCACAAGTGTTAATAATAAACAAGAAGTATAATAAGAATATGGATGTTTTTCCACATTAATATTACTAATGTGAAAGTAGATCTGTGTGTTTGTTTTTAGAATTAACTGTTAACCTCACACGATTTTCATGGAATTTGGCATTAAAGTATCTTAAACTTTGAGGACGTTACTTACATCTTATAGATAAATACTGAAATGCTAATCTCACTCTTACTAATATTACAAATGTGAAAGTTTAGATGCATGTTTGGATGTTTGTTACTCAATCACGCCAGAAAAGCTGAACGCCGTTCATCATTTGGATGGATGCATGTTTGTTATTCTGACCTGTATGAAATTTAGCACAGAGATAGATTATAATGTGGAATAGTACATAGGCGACTTATTAGTTATCGTTATTCTAGAGGTGACCTCGAGCAAAGTGAGGGTGAGCCGCTAGTAAGATATAATTTCATTATATTCGAATTTCTTATTTAAATATTCTTACTGTAGAATGATATCTCAATATCACACAGCTCTTACAAATAAGAGAGACCAGTATGAATAAATATATATATATATATATATATATATATATATATATATATATATAACGACGTCCCTATTGAAAAGCAAAAACAAATCTAACCCACGAGAACCGTACATTTTTCCGGAATAAAAAGTGACCTATGTGCTATTCCAGACTATAATCTAGCTCTGTGCTAAATTTCATCCAGATCAGAATAACAAACGTGCATCTATCCAAACTTTCGCATTTATAATAATAATTAATGGGATTTATTTAACTAAATTTCAAGTATCATAGAAATTGTTCCAATGAAAACCTATAAAATATTTTTAATTTTTGCACATAATGCTTTAATTTTTTTTTTGTAATTGTGTTACATTGTAGAGCACTATTGACCTATTGATATTAAAAGAAAACCCCTTAACGACCGCGGACACGCCGGCGTTACAGTTAACAATAGATTTATTAGAAATTTACCTGCAGGTGTAACATATTTAATTTATCCGGTTTATAAAGTTTTTATGATATGATAAAACTGCCATTTATAGTTCTACAATTATATAATAGTATAAAAAATACTATTATATTCTAGAAGTATATTTTATATTTCAAGAATTGAGTCTATATATACTTAAATAGGCAAAGACAAAAGGTTAGGTACCTTTTTCTCCTCTGTTTGTCAAACGGTTTTTTTTTCTGTTTAATAGCTATTGATGAGCTTTTATCTATAAACAAATTAGGAAACATTTTTTTTATATAGATAATTAGGTAATGATCAAACAATACATTATAATTATGTATTTATAAATGTTCAATTATGATTACGACCGAACTTCGACCACTGGACCGACACTTTTAATAACAACGTGAAATTTTACACATGTCGTGAGAATTTTATTTAAGGGCAAAATCTATCTAAATTCGTTTAAAATATTCAAATTGTTTATGGCTTCGTATTCTGTTTCTTTAAATGTTATTTGTACTAATATTTTAAATTTCTATGCTTTTTGTAGACGAAAATCGTGTAGATATATTTTAAAAACACCCAAGGTAGGAATTTTTAATAATCATACAGTACCTACCTATGTAAATATAAACAAAATACATAACGAGTTGACAGATGCAATACTCACATTAGTGTATGTTACTACTAAAAGATCATATTTGACCTTTATTTGAGAAGTTAGAAGTCACTATATTAAAGACTAGCTTATGCCCGCGGCTTCACTCGCGCCAAATTCAAGTTTAAGACAATTTACTTCTTATCACTCCAAGAAGAGGACTGTTACTTGTTTTCGAAAACGCACGAAACACCTGTGAATTTTCGAATTGATATATCTCCTATATGATTTTTTCATTCAAACTGTGAACCCCCGTTTCACCATTTTAGGGGTTGAATTTCCAAAAATCCGTTCTTAGTGCATAATCTTCGTCATAATAACTATCTTTGTGTCAATATTCAACCCGATCCGTTCAGCGGTTTGAGCAATGCTTTGATAGAGTCAGTCAGTGTTTCCTTTTATATATGTATATAGAAAGATGATATAAGTATCGTATCTATATTATATATATATATATATTCTTACTATCTAACAATACTTCCAAACATTGAAATTTCCTTCAAATTCATCCATCCATATTTTTATTTGCGCTAAATTTGAATATTATAACTTGAATAACTTTAGATATTACACGAAAACGTTTTATACCGAAAATAATTTAAATTACTTACGTGAAAATGGATAATGTTGACTAAATTATAGAAAAGACGTTCAATATCTTTTAGCTAAGTTGGTTCAAATCTTCTATTTTCATAGTCTCACATATTTACTTACAGGCAGTGGTAGCCCAATGATAACGCGCTCGCTGGGAAACCGACTGAAGCGAGTTCAAATCCCGGGTCTCGCACCTCTGATATTTTTATGTGCGAATCATTTCCAACATGATTTACCACTTGTCTTAACGGTGAAGGAAAACATCGCGAGGAAAACTACATGTCTGAGAGAACCTAGCAAGTTTTCAAAAGACATGTGAAGTCCGCCAATCCGCACTTGGCCAGCGTTGTGGACTACGGCCTGATCCCCCTCGTACTGAAGGGAGGCCCGTGCCCAGCAGTGGGACGTTAAAAAGGGCTGAATACAAGAATACATATATTTACTTACATTCTTTATTTGATTATACTGTAGTAGCGACTCATCCACGCTTTGCTTCGGGTTCGTTCCTAGGTACGTTTTAACAGTTAGTGTGGAATAGATAGACTATATATTATAGGTACTTATATACATAGGTATGATGAGTTATTTTGGGTTATATTATAACGTATTTTCCCGTGGAAATGAGATAATTTCCCGCGGTAAAAAGCTTATGTCACTCTCCAGCTCTCCAACTATCACTTATAACTGTTTCTACGTTAAAGAAGGACAAACAAACACATTTTCACATTTTTTATATTATTAAATTAAAGTATGGATTATATTGTACTATCCATACTAATATTATAATTGTGAAAGTAACTCTGTCTGTTACATTTTCGATAAAATATGGCAAAGACATAGATTACATCCTGGGATCGAACATAGGCTAACTTTGAATCCCACCCTGTAGGGAATATGCGTGTGCTTTATTGCTTTTGAACTAAGCCTATGTCAATATTTTTTAATGTAATTTCTTTCTGATTAAAAAAATAATTAAAAGTGCAAATATATTATGTGGGAAATTCAAAGTAGTTGAGACGCACGCCATTGGTCAGACCGAATATTACGTCAGTGTATTATCATAACACTGCGATTAGCGATTTTGCCGGTACAAGTTGAGTTGTAATTTTTCTGTGTATATCATACTGTGACGTCACGCAAGCACGCGAAATAGCGGGCGTTTAAAGTATCCGTACCGGAAAGATATTTTTAAAACCTTTTTTTATATTAAATTTTAGTTTTTTGGAGCTAGATATTTTTTATAATTATATAAAGATTTTAGCTACTGTATAAAAAAAAAAAAATGTCATGCATATTCCCTATTATCACGCAGCGAAGCCGCAGGTAAAAGTAGTTAGTTAAATGAAACATAGACAAATAAACAAATTAGTGAACAGTTCTGTGTTTACGTCACTCAAAACTAATCATCATGGTTTAATTAATTGGTTTTTTCCCATAATACCTAATTATGGTGTTTATTTTTTTAATTATTAACCGATTCGTTTAAAAGGAATGTATGTAATATATTATATTTTAGTACC